CTAGTGCACTTGTGCGCGTGAGAGAGACAGAGTTGCGATCTGCCAGAGATCTGAGCGAGTTGCGCTATGCCAGAGATTTGAGGGAGTTGCGCATGCGACCTGTCTCTATTGATGATGTGACACTGGCCACGCTGTCTACATGAGGTGACAGGTTGCGACAAGGAGGAGGGTCAAGATCTGTGGTAGAGTGAGGAGCGGGTTACTTACCTGAGATTGACGTCGATATTGTACTGATTGTCTTCGTTGTCTCCGTGGGAGAATAGTGCCACATCGCAGTTCTGTGTGATCCGGACTTGTCACTCTCTCTCTCTCTCTCTCTCTCTCTCTCTCTCTCTCTCTCTCTCTCTCTCTCTCTCTCCACACCCTCCCCCACCCCATGACCCATACATTTGAATCTTGGGAGAGGAGGATGATCGATGATGCAGACTTATCATCATCATCTTGCGACGAATGGTGGGTGGAACACCATGCACGTCCGCGCCGCAAGGAGAATCGGAAGAAGGAAGGTATCTCCTGAGACCAGGAGATTCATGGAGAAGGAGAAGAAAGACTTGGAGGATCTGATCCTCTACATCCGACAGTTAGACGAGGAGGATGAATGCCGGAAGATGGAACATGGAAAGAAGACGGCCGCCGGCACATCATCTGGCGCATAAACGGAAGACACCAAGGATACCGAGGAGAGAGAGAGGGAGAGGGAGACATAGAGAGAGAGAGAATGAGAGAGAGAGAGAGGAAAAGAGAGATAAAGAGAATGAGAGAGAGAAAGAGTAACCCCACAGGTGGGGTGTTTTTGGCATGTGGCAGGCGCGCAGATCGACACATGAGACCGTGCACGTCAGAATCCAGATCGCTCGCCAGAAAAGGTTCCTTGCCACACGAGCGAGCGAGCAAGCGAGAGAGAGAGAGAGAGAGAGAGAGAGAGAGAGAGAGAGAGAGAGAGAGAGAGAGAGAGTCTAAGGACGTAGTGCTCTGCGTGGCAGCTGGCAAGTGGCAGCCACCGTGACATGGCAAGTGTAAGGATGGCGAGTGCACCTCGTGGTAGCTGCACAGACGACATCGACGGGAATAGCCCGATTAAAGACCGAATGGACCACGTGGCAGGTGCACAGACGTTAGAGAAGAGGCCGCACATATGCAACTACATAGGAATGTCACGTGTCTCCTTGTCTCTCCCTCTCTCTATCTATCTTTCTCTCATTCACTCTAGATATCCAGCGCACGTGCAAGTACGTGGCAATGCCACGTGTCTCCCTCTCACTTTCTCATGGCCATGAAGAGTTTTTTCGAACAGGCCGCACGTGTGTAGAATAATTGAGAGAGGGACAACGAGAGAGAAAGAGATTAGCATGTACAGGAGAGAGACGGAGGGAGAGGCCCGAGAGGGGGAGAGATTGAGACACAGAGAAAGTGGGAGAGAGAGCCAGAATGTGTATAATAATAATAACAATTGCGGCCAATTACTTGTTTGTGTTGATTGAATCTCGACTTTGGTTTTCACTTTGTTTCACTGTCTCTCTCTGTCTCTTTGTCTCTCTCTCTCTCTCTCTCTCTCTCTCTCTCTCTCTCTCTCTCTCTCTCTCTCTCTCTCTCTCTCTCT